CAATTGATCGTAAGAATTCTACAGCCAATCCAGTAGAAGTAACAAGGAAACACGGATGCAGGTTCAGAGAGGCCATCGCCAGGGATTGGACTCTCTCTCTCTCTCTCTCTCTCTCTCTCTCTCTCTCTGCTTGGATTAGTTTTGAAGCAAGACCATGCTGCTCTTTCCTGCCGTTCCATACAACGAGCGTATCCTACAAAGACAGACAGCTACAGACATGGAAAGGGGGAGGTGGAAAGTCTAGTGGTGGCAAGAAATAGCCATGATCGGTGAAAGAAGGTTCTGTCATGGTAGTAGGATGGGTTTGTGGTGATGGAACAAAAAAGAAAGTGTAGAAAATAAGATTATCCATTAGGATGCTGCAGTTCCCACATGATGATCCTTCTCCATACAAACCTCCATCATTGGGTATAAGGAGGGAACATAATCCTGTCCACTTGCTGCATAACAAGTGGCATCTTTCTTCCTTCAAATTTTATTTTAAGGATACATTTTGTTCTCTTTAAAACTTGCAGTAAAATTTGATGTTTTTTCTCCTCTCTAATCTATTGATTTATTCTCTTCAAATCTTGCATTAAACAAATTTTTATATTCACTATCGCTTATTAGTATAATACTCAACTTAAATTTACTTGAAATAATAAAATAAAATCTTTATTTTAGAAATATATGGATTGTATATGAGTCTGAAATCTAATCTGGTGTATTTTTTTTTTCTCATGTAAAATCTCTACGGTGTAAACTTAAATTTGAGATAGAATTTTTTTTTTCTCTTCACATCTCAGTGTAAAATCTCTTCTTCCCTTGAAATTAAATAATAAAATAATTTCTTTAAAAAAAAAAGGAAAGAAAGTTGCTAGCAAAATTATCAATGGGGATGGTGGGCAACAGGGGAAATTAAGTAATGAGTGTGTGTGTTGGCATTTTGATTTGGTTTCCATCAATGATTAGAACTGTTCATTGCATGATTGAGGCCATGTGACTCCCTGTGTAATTCTGCATTAAATAAAAGGGGTTAGAAATTGCTACTACAATAATTCTGGATTCTGGTTCCTATTATTTTCTGTGATCACACTTGCTTTGGACCCCCTAATACAAGTCAAATTGTTTATGTCTTTTCTGTGCCTCTCTCTAATCCTTGCTGTTTCCAGCAAATGTCCGGTCCCCCTACCAAACAATTGTGGTCGTATTGGTCTGTATTAGTATAATAATTGACTAATAGGTATAAAAATATAATATACTAATAAATTAGGGGTGGCAACGACAACAATTGTGGTCCAACCTATTGGTCTCAGATCAATCACATCAGTAAGCTATCGAGTCACTCCGTTGCCACTGCAATCAATGACCAAGGTCCTCATCGCACGGTCGTTAGATCGCGAAGCCTTTTACTCAAATGATCAAAGTGCCCTTAGAATAGGTCGTTATCCAACTCGATGTATTCATGTGGGGTGGGCACTCGTAGCAGTACCTGACACATTACGCCACAGTGCCACGTATGATCTTTTTTTTATCCATGACGCGTAGTTGATCATCGCCTCCACAAATATTTGAACGTGGAATCTATTTGTTTTTTCTATCAGAGAAATTAAACATCGGGTGAAAATTGATTACGATTCTGGAATTGATGATTTTAATTTTTAAATTTAAAAAACTCAAAATCGAATCATGTAAGACTTGTTTTGAAACTAAATTTAGAATCGACGGTTCTGGTTTGACTAGTAGATTTTTTTTTATTTTTTATTTATTTTTAATTAAAAAAATCAGGAATCGTAGTTGATCCAATTTGGTTTGGCATCGACGAACTGACAAACCAATTCGATTCCGGTTTGATCGGAACCGAACGACGATGAGAGTAGGTGAAAACACTGTTGCTTGTTCGCGATACAATTGGGACCAATAAGGAGTAAAAATGCTGTGTGCAGGCCAAAAGGTTGCTCACGAGTTGGGACCAATAAAGCGTAGAACTTCCATGAATGATTACATGATGATGATGACATGATGAGGCGCAAAGGTCGCTCACAAACAGTTGTATTTAGGTATACATAGCTTGAAATGGGTGCGTTGCTTTGTGGCTGTGGGGCTTCTTCAGGTGGGTTTGGTGGTGGTGGTGGTGGTGGGGAAAAGGTTTGAGACCAAATGACTTTTTTTTTCCTGTTTCTCGAAGAAAAGAAATTGAGATTTGCTCTCAATTATTCTCGAGAAAACCATATTCTCCAAATAACACATTTGGTGGTCAGCGAAGGTGACTAGGTTATCAGGAAAGAAACATTACGTGGCCTGCATCAAGCTTCGACCTGTCACCCCTTTTTAATCATAGGATTCTGCTACAAACTCTCCTGATTTGTTCCACCGCAATTAATGATCTCAGCATCTTTCCATATAGAAACACCCGCCTGTTGCATGCGGTGTGATTTATCGATGGCGTCCCGAAGAACGTATATCGGAGACGCGGTGCGGTCTCCGCATCAACTTCGGCGCAGAAGAAGAAGAAATTGTACAAGTAAACAGCGTTGGATATTGATCGTTTCACTTCTCGGGGCCGACAAGAAAGCGAAGAGAGGTGAGACGCAGCTCCTCTACACAGTGATCCCAAGGCCCACTCCCATGTTGTGTAGTTCTCCCTTCATCTCTCGCTCCATCATGCCATTAACGACACACATTAAGCTTGGAAAGCTACTTGTGATCTAATGTCCTGCGGTGGAATGTTTTTTACCGCTGAAGTGAATCTTGATAAGAAACAACGATGGGAGAGAAAAGAGACCGTAAGGGCGTGGTAGAATCCCTTCTTCTTTTTCGCCCAAGGATGTGCACGGGAATGGGACAGCGAGAGAGCATCGTATTCCATGTAGCTTGTCCTCCTTCCACGTATGTCTTATCCTTCGATTAAAACGGTGTTATTGGAAGAACCGCCGGACTCGATCGACATTAGCGATCCACGTCTACTAGTGCAAGCGAATAGGATCTTAAACGAGTTCAGATAATGTAGATACTGATAAGGTATATTTTGGATCCACGTCGCGTCACGAGCAATGCCACGTAGCGCTACAGCCAGAGCACCCCCACGTATCGAGCTAGATTCTGTATCAAGGCATGGCTCGATACGTCCCATCCCGGAAAGCTCGGGACGGTGCCGCATGGCGCCGTTCCACGCATCCCGGAGCGGTGGCCGCACAAAGGTATCGCCTCATCTCCCGAGGATCGGCTGTTACGCCCGCGTATGACCGACCCTCATACAGTAGCATAAAAGCATATGGTCGGTATCCGACCAGGGCGAAAAAGAAAAACTCCAACCCGCCACTAACTTGATCGTTGGAGGGACCAAAGTCGGGAAACATCCGACGACGATCTTTTTTGCAGGAAAGTTGTCATCGCAGGCTAGAAGGCATTGATCAGACCCTCATTGCCGACGCTTAAAGTGGTGTTCGATCGATCTCGAAACCCAGCACAACCGACCAGAGACTCCCGACATTGCCTTGTGGACCAGGCCGTGCTGACTCTATCAGCCATGGTGCATTAATCCATCAACATTTTTTGTGCTAGAAGGAGGGTCATGTCGCAGGAGCATCTCACAAGAGCCCTCCCCGAAGGAGAACCATCGATCGGTCACCCCTCTGCCGGACCCGGAGATTGGCCCCTCCCCACCATCGGGGACGGGGGAATCTCGGCTTTGATGCCAGATCGATACTGGCACTTATTCAATGATAAGGGGTTGTCGCCCCCCGGACTCACCATAGGACCCTCGACCGTGTCGCCCGAGGCGTTCCTCAACCTGACCAAGCAAGTACAAGCAATGGCGGGGATAATGCAGACCCTCGTCTCACTCATCCCCCAGATCTTATAGTTGGCAACTACCCCGACCAACCCTACCCGGCAAAGGCCGGCCAGGGAGCAAGTCGGTACAGGAGAAGCCCGAGATAGAATGGTAGATCCAAGAGGCTCGCCTGAGCAGAGTGCACCTACGCCCTGCCAAGTCACACCGCCCTGCCCTGAGCCTGACATCATATTACCCGACTCGGCGAACGACTCGTTCAGGATGCAACTATCTCGGGTCAACCATCACTTGGACGAGTTCCAGCGAGAGCTTCAGAAATCGCGGAGCGAGCCGAACGAGGGCAGCTCAGGCGGATCCCCCTTTGTTCAAGAAATACAAGAAAAACCTGTGCCCCTCAACTTCAAGCTGCCATCTTTGGAAACGTATGATGGCGGCTCCGACCCTGCGGAGCATGTCGCCGTGTTTTGGGCTCAGATGGCCCTCTACGGCACTTCCGATGCATTAATGTGTCGAGCGTTCCCGACCACCTTCAGGGGACCAGCACGCACGTGGTTCAATCGTCACCGACCAACTGCTGCGACAAATCCTATCCAATTTTGATGCATCAGGTCGAATGCTGCGGTGGTCAGTTGAGCTCAGCGAGTTCGCATTCAGTACTCTCCTAGAACTGCCATCAAAGCTCAAGTACTAGCCGATTTCATCTCCGAGCTAACCCCTCAAGATCATACAGTTGAACAGGAAAACAACAGTCACACGTGGACCCTGCATGTGGATAGTTCGGCCATCGCTGAGGCTGCCAAGGTCGGACTTATCCTCAAGGGCCCAACCAGAGAAACCTATGAAAGATCGCTCCGGCTACAATTCCAAGCCACCAACAATGAGGCCGAGTACGAAGTGCTACTCCATGACCTACGCCTCGCCTTGGAGATGCAGGTGGTCGACCTCGAGGTGTTCAGCGATTCCCAGCTGGTAATAGGACAGGTCAATGGGAACTACGAAGCCCGAGGCTCGACCATGATGTTATACCTGGCGGAAGCACAACGGCTCACCCGTCTCTTCAACCATCTCTCAGTCACTCGAATACCTCGAGCTCAGAACACACAGGCTGATACTCTAACTAAGTCAGCCCCCACCCATAGCCTGGAAGCAACCCCGACAACCGAGTCCATA